CCTCTTTCCACGAGCCTCGACAACGGTGAACCTGCTGGATGTACTCTATAGAGTTCATTTTCTACCTCTTTTACATGAATAGGAAAACGCAAGCTGCCAAGCTGGCAAACGTATAGTTCCTCTTATACTAGGTATTGCATTGAAAGGAGGAGTCTATAGATATAGTAATTAGAAAGCACATACTACACCAACCGACGTAGTCAATAGTAACGTCGTAAATGTACATGCAGCCTTACATGTGCTACACCAAGCGCTCGAATAGAATACCGTATACTAGTCAAGTTTATATATATCAATTTAGGTGCTTCATCTCGACAAAAATCAAAAAACCAAGTCACATTCCAGAAAACGCCTTGGCGCGCGCCCATACTATGTAAAGGAGGGCTCGAGTTACAATGTCGGACTCGCGAACCGGGCCCCGCGTCGTGCCATTTGGGGGCTTTCCGCCAGAGAGAAGAACAATATGTAGCAAGAACGAGGAGGCAGAGGCCGAACCAGAAAATTAAATGAAAAAAAAAAAATAAAACCCCTTCGTTTTTAAATACTTCATTCAAGACCCTGACAAAGGGCACATGGCCAAGTACTACCTCTGCAGGATCACATGCCTTGAATATATCCCTTGACATACGTAGATGCCATCATTTTCGTTAGAGCTACCAAGAAATATATATTACCCAGTGCCGTGTTTGCCGTGTTTGCCGTGTCCAGGTTGGCAACTATGTCAACCCAGAAAGCCTCTGCGATGATTCACGGAGAATTCCCAACTTCGAAATAAGAGGAACTGCACAATGAGTATAATCTTATCTTCCCAGCGTAAGGGTGAAGCGTACGTACGTAGATGACAATCTCGAGTATTGAGCTCTAGCAAGAGCTGCATAGACTTGACCTAGTAACCCTCATCTCTAACCAAGAAGATGACAAGCAAAGGAATTTGAATGAATGGCCCTGACCTACCTACCAAGTTATGATTGCAAGTACTAGTCTAAGTCGTTGAATCATACTTAAGGTATCTATTATAAAGATAATCGTCGTGTCCTATCACACCATCATCCAAACCAGCCCAAGCAGAATCTTCTACATATATGAGGAAGACGTACCTTCAAACCCCATCACAAAATCCGACATACCATGTAGAGTCGTCAAGACGTTATATAGAGGAAGACGAAACCAAATTATGTTTATGTAGGCCTAGATATATTCCTATTCTAACTGATTCCCATATCCATATCCAACCCTTGCCGCCACCCCATGGCTCGTGGTCCGAACCATATCCTCAGACCTCCTCCCATACCGGATAATATTGAAAAGTGTTTCTATCCTGGTCAATGGCTCTTAAAAAGTTTAGGAAGGAAAAACCAAGAAAAAGGAACCCCCGCGTATGCGTATTGTCATCTTAGTGTTAAGCTACTTCTCAAAAGCGCTTATGGAAGACGTTTAGCCCCAAGACTAAACTGCAAGTGCGCTTGACGAAGGCTACCGCTCAAACATACTGCGACCGCTTCCCATGCCGACTCCCAATATTACTGATACTATCACTCGGCGCTACACTCCCTGCGTCATCATCATCCCAGACCACATAACCGCTACCGGCATGGCTCTCCGGACGTTTCACACTCCGTGATCTATTACCCCCAGACCCTTTAACTGAATACCGAGTTCCGGCTTTAGACTGAGGTCGCGGGGGCGAGTTCCGTGTGCCGCGAATCGTGCCAGCCGATTTATCGGTGCGAGCCGAGACATACGTCTCGGTCTCTACCTCACGCGGCCGCGATGACGCAGATGTGTGCTTGGAACTAACATACGTGCGCCAGTCTGACTCCGAGTCGGGTGAGTGCCGCGAGCTCGCATGGCTGCGGGAGTCAGGGGCGGGGGCGTGTCTGGACCGGCCTGTGTTGCTGCGATACTCTGATTCCATCGGTCGCCTCTCGCCGTGTTTCGATCCGGCACGTCTTCTGTGCTCGTGCTCGTCGATCATGTGCGGGCGTCTAGATGAGGATGCCTCGCTGCGGCCGCGCGACCGACTCCTGGTGGTGTAGTGACTTGAGTAACGACTAGCACGGTCGTCCATGTTTTCGATCGCTCTGCCTCGCGAACTACCGGCCTGAGAGTGACCACCATTGTAGCTGCTGGGAGGGTAGTACCGGGGCCGGTCCGGAGGTTGGGCCGGGTATGTGGACCGTCTAGTAAAGGGCGGCATATCATGACCCTGGAACGTCATAGGCTCTTGTTCTTGCTCTTGCTCTTGCTCTTGTTTGTTCTTTATTGAATTATAGGTTAGCGCGCCACCGACAGCAGCGCCCACCGCCAGACCGAAGACGGCACCCAGGACGGTGGTAGTGTTCAATCCTTTTGGGGCCTCCTGAGGTGGAGTCTCGATAGTTGATGATGTCGCAACGCTTTGTCGCGCTATAGTATAGGAATCGCCACTAGAAGCGCGGCTACCCACCGTGGTGCTAGGCCCACTGGATCCGGCGATAGACCGTGGTAAAGGAACCAAGGGAGCTCCAACATCTAGAGTCCAGTCAAGGACACGGCTGGATTCCTGGGTAGATGAGGATTGAGACCGGGTTACCGTCGATCCTGCACGGCTTGAGGCATACTTTTTGGAAGAATTAGCATGGACAACCTCCATGATGTTTCCGTCAAAATCGCCGATAATGGCGCGACTCTCTTCGTCTGGATCTGCGTTCTGTATGCGTAGATAGTTAACGCTATAGTTGCCGTCCTTTAGTTTAGGGTTCGAACGCAAGGCAGCTCCGTGGAAAGCGGCAACGGCCGAGGGTGATTTCGCCGAAAGGACTAGGCGACAGGGTTGCACAAATTGTGAGTCCGGGTTGGTATTCTGCTTCACTTCGAAGACCGGCTCGGGGGAAGATGAAGAAATATCGCCAAACACTATCGAGGCAGGAGTGGAAGATATATATCGGAGACCAAGGGGTTGAGCTACAGCGGCGTAGAACGAAGCCGAGGGAGCTAGGTCTTTGACTTGGACAAATGGTAGGACGTGCATATCTCCAGGAGCTACTGGTCCGTGACAAATTATCGAATAAAGTGGAATGAGACGTTAAAACGACTAGGTAGTCGAAGCTGAGTGACTCAGAGCAAGCACAACTGGCTCTGGTGATAGCAGTATGCACGAATACTGATCGAGAAGACGGGAAAGCGTTGCAAGGGAGATGCAGCTAACCAGCCAGCAGCGATGTGGAGCACGCCTGAAGATATAAGCAACGAATGGTAAGGTAGAAATCGTAAAATCGAAAAGCCGAAAGGAGTGTATTAGGTGGGACAGGGTGGAAACGAAGAGTGTTGTCTATATCCCAATCTAAGTGTATAGGCGTCTCGATATGCAAGCCAAGTAAGTATGGCGTATTTTAACATCAAGAGGGGAATGTTGTAAGTAAAGATTATTGAGTTGATAGAACTCGAGGTTTATTAGATATCTCAACTTCGGTCTAATAGGATTAATAATTAGAATTAGAACGATGATGAACGAAAAGAAGTCGAGAAACGAGCAAGTTTATGAGTAGAAATATACCGACTTCAATACCTATCTAGTATCATGGTGGGAATATTTATGCGTGAGCCGCCAATAAACGGGCTTCTCCCAAAAAGACGATAGTTAGGTACTGATGCAGGAGACATCTTGACCTGTCTTTCAGAATTTTCCGGGAGGTGATCCACTCCCCAAATAATCCGATGCAACTGGATGCTTGAATTAGTCTAGTTGCGTCTATCTCACTCATTCACACACGTGTATTGTGATAGATTGAATGATGAACAACCTGGCGGGGGATTCGTAGTGGCAAGATGAATATCCACCATAGCTGCATGTGCACGATGGCCCATGAAAAGATTCATGATCCATGGTTATTGATATTGATGTTGTAAATATAACTCAGCTGAACCATGAAAGATACGAGATGGATGGCTTGAGTCCGAATGGCACATGCTGGTCTTCATAATGATGTTGCTATGCAGATAGCAAGCAGGCTGCTTGAAGTGACTATCGTTTTTATGATTTTTTTCCCTTTTGGCGGCACAATGGCGCTGACTCTACAAAATGCCTCCCTATGGCAGTGGTGGAAGGGCTGCCACGTTAGATTTGCGCCCTATATTGAATCGCCGCATGCCTGAAATGCCTTACCTTCCGACACAAGCTTGACTCGAAACAATAGCTACCAGCATGAATGGAGCTTCTGCAAGCAAAAAGTAGCATCTTGATAGTATCCTAGTAAACAAATTGGTCGAGGGGAATATAGAGTTGCAGCAATGTGGGATGTGGAATGTGGAATATGGAATATGGAATAGTTTAGTGGAACAGTTTAAGTGGAATAGCTGCGTACAAGAACATATGTAGAAAGGTAAAGAGGGTAACTGACTACCTCCTTCCGCGGACCAAACAGAATAGCACTTGCCCTACTTTTTATGGCTAGTTACAGTTACACATCGTGGAACTTGACAACACAATGTCTAGGTAGGTATGTTAGGTTAGTACTCTCATGTACAGACCAGCGTCGTGTGAGGTGGGTAGGTACACGTAAGGACCAGATAAATCAACTTTTAACAGGTATTCCCAGTTTGACCTTGTCAATTAATTGCGTGGTTCTGAAACTAGGTTCCTATGGGGTACCTATACATAGACCCATGATTGGAGGTTATGTACATGAGTCTAGTACCTATTACATGTATTACACCACCCCATTTCCCATTTCCTTGCCGAAGACTCGTAGATTCGCAATCCTAACCGAGACCATCATCAAAACGGCTAAGTGTGACCGACGCATAACAATACCATCTTCTCAGACGCAGACTTAACCATAAGATCTTCATCTTGCACCCCAATACATACATATCCATCTTCCAACCAAGTATCACTGGATTAGGGTATCCAATGCCTACTTAGAAGTAGATCAATAGTGAAGGGGATTATGAGGGGACGCTGCGCCATCGAACCGGTGCCTCCACCCTGCCTACTTCTATCGCTGACGCCGATGTCCGTTCCTAGAAGCGGATGGCTCAACAACAGATGCTCCAATATCCAGCTCACTCTTCCGCAGCTTAATCCGCTTAAACTCATCCAATAGGCACGACGTAAAGCCGACGTATCGTTCTGTTACAAAGATTAGGTCCGCTCTCAGCTAAGCCATGAGAACCTCGTAAAAGGCGGGTTATACGTCTAATTGACTTTGGCCCCAAGCGCTTGTCTTGTCCCATGGTCCACGCAAATCCTAGCATCGGACTAGAGAGGTGAGCTAGCATAAGGGGGAATTTGTTATAAAAGAAGGGAAACAAAGAAAGAGGGTTGTGGGCCAAGTTGAAGTAGCCCACACAAGACGGCGAAAACGTCTTGGATCTCATGTTGAACGCCTGATGTTTTGGTTGCAAAAACAGAGACTGAACAAAACCCGTAGACCCAAGCTCCGGGGATACCTGCGTCTGCCACCATGTTGTATGGCGGGTTTCGCGAAGCACACCCGCTTTATCATTCATACCTAATACGTTCCACTACCTACCCTCCTCTTACATTCCCCTTTTCCTCCTCGAGGGGCTCAGCTTAGGAGACTATCTTAGAGGATGTCCCAGACGTCCTCAGCAGCGTGGCAAAACTTGCTGCATGCAACACTAGCCGAAAGGCTGTATTGGCTAATTGAGATCTTCTCGTCTACATACTCGTCGGCGAAGTTGTCTGGGCCTTTGGCCATGGCACCCACGAAGACACATATGCTTTCCTTTGGCCCAAGAGTCTGCATGTAGTCTCGTACGCGCACGGTGGCCGAGTCAAAGCTTAGAGTGATCTTGCGGCAATTGGGTGGAAGATGGTCCGTAATCGGGTTCTGGATGACTCGGAGGAGCTTCTCTTGCGAGTTGGTAGAGCGGATAGATAAGCGATGGAGCAGCTGAACCATCAAACCGGCAAATCGCTTGAACGTTCGGGGAATACGGACAGTAGGCGACACCTCGATGAGGACACCCTTTGCAGTCTGTATATATATTTGCAGCTTGCCTGCTTTGTTGATGGGCGAATCCAGAAGGGTAAGGAGACACTACATTAGTGGAACACAACGTCAGCATGTTGAGTGCCAACTGAGACTAATGTCTTGTTGAAGAGTAAACGAAATATGGCGCTGTAGCGTACCTGATGTGTAATATCGGGTCGGGCGTCGCTGATGTCTCGGTTCATCTTGCGCATCACTCCTATGTGCTCGTCGCTGTTGAGAAGCGAGTACTTGTCCTCACGCTGCATACCGGCACGACCAGCGCCGCCACCGTGGGAGGCCTTGTATGTCTCTAGACTGGCATTGGATAAGACTACTATGAGTCTCTGACTGTCCTTGTCATTGGAGGCTATGGGTACGTGCTGTTCGGCAACAAGTTGGGGGAGAGCCGGAGGAGGTAAAGATTGGGTGCCTGCGGAAGTAGGCATTGTTGTTAGAAAAGCTGTTTAGAATTGCGAACGGGCGGAGAAAAATAGAAGGTTGTGTTTGCAGATGTATGAACTCCCGAGGGGCTTTAACGCGGCCAAAAGGGTGTCTTTAATCCAGCATATCACAGTGGTGTGGGCAGGTGGACAAGTCGCAAAGTATTGTACAAGCGTGCGGCTGAGTAGCTCGGAGCAACCTATATGCGATATGTGGAACAACCCAGATGATTCCCGTCTCTTTCCCTTTATCTAGAAACCGATCTGGAAACAGCAGAAGGGGATTAATAAAAAAGCAATTGTCAAACTTACGAGGTCGCTTCCCAGCACGATATTCTACTGTGGAAGGCATGGTCGATTTGCAAATAGTACAAGGTGATAAAGTTCTTAGCAGAGTTTGTTAATGCAAGAGCAATACAGCGAATCAGGTAGTGATCGTAGTAAGTAGTGAGTACAAATAGTTATGTCTCGTGAGAATTTGTATAAAGCTGAAGAGTGAAAGGTCGTCAACGGGACGGAGAATCGAAGCGAAGAAATTGTTAAAAAGGATTCGGGTCGGGTTAAGCTACGGATGTGGGGAGGATTTTTGTTTGTACATATCGAGTCCAGTTCGGTAAAACAACTACGACTTCCCTGCATCTTGGCGACCCTCGGACCTCCACCGGTATAAGGGATTGCTATCGATGCAGTAACTTCCTATCTACCCCGCTATAAGTGCTACCTACTCGCAGTTGCCCTTGCTGACAGCTTAAAGGTACAGCACGTTTTTCTAAAAAGACAGTTACTCAGGTTACAGTTGCTGCTACCATTTCGCAAGCACGTGTAGTACCTAATCGCATAACACATGCATGTATGAATGCATTATGTATGCAAGCCTCAGTCGAGGATTGGATGATTTAGGTACTTACATATGCACTTAGGCACGCTAGAAAGAAAAGCAAACTCCCCTTACTGTCATGTACCGATAAGATTATATAGATTATGTAAATCACCGTTCTTTTAAACACGCCCAGCATGTTTCTAACTCATAGGTAGCCTGCCCCTCCCATGTCTATACTTTCAACCATTCCGGCCTAGAATTGGAATACCTACGTAGGTAGCATTATGTGCTGGATCCAGTTACCAACCAGAATTTCATCGGAGTACGGGTTCACTAAAAACAAACAATGCAAGCCATCGGCTCCATCCCCAGCCCGATCTCCGGCTCCGTAATTTTCTATACTCTAACATATATGTTATCTTTAAAATCCACTAAAAGCAAGCAGAAAAGCAACGAATAAACAGTATAATACTTCCTGTGAGTATTAAAAAATGCAAAAAAAAAAAATAAAAATAAAAATAAAAAATAAAAAATAAAAAAATTATGCGAGCCCGCTTCTTCCGAAACGATATGTCAGATTCGAAGGAATACAGAAGTGCTTATGGCTTAACCCGTAGGCATAACCGATGGAGTGGTGAGCCTTACTCAGCCTGCGCCCCGGTTCCTACGAACAGAGCATCCAGCCTTTCGGAGAAACTCAACCGGCTATCTGCAATTAGAACTTTCTGCAGGTGATACGAGTCCCGCTGCGGGGAAGCCTTTTAACTTCTTAGGACGCAAAAAAAATGTCTGAGCTCCAGCAATCAAATTATACTAAAATAGCTTCCCTACGCTTTGTAATACCTGGACTAGGAAGGGATAAGTATGCCCTGATAGTATAGTGATAGTATAGTTGACTAAGCGGTGAGCATGGCTATGCAGACATGTAGGTATTAGGCGCTAAGAGTATATATAGATGGTCCTATACAGGAAAGATAACAGGAAAGATACCTATTCAAAACTTATCCCGACATGTAAGCTGACAACCCCGGGTTTATAGAATTGACTGACTGTTTCGGCCGAGAATAATCCTTGCATAATATAACGATTAATATATGTAACAATCGCAAAATACGTATATTTCATATACAAGCGATTATTCGCTGATCGAGATGCGTCCAAAGGCCAACCGACAATTTATTGCTGTATTCTCCGAATAGTATATATTTTATGTAGGCCGGGCTCGGAACTTCCCCGAATAAGACCAGATGCCCGAGCGGGATATCCTGACTCGATAAGCAAGTGCAGGTAATCTATCATAACCCAATTGGTTCTTCGGGTTTCCGTGTTCGGTCTTGGACGTTTATGGTAAGTATTAGTTCGTGACGTTGATGGTTATCGTGGGTAGCCAGGTATATCTAATCACAATCCCGGGCTAAGAAGAAAAAAAGGGTCTAATAAGAGTAACATGAAGAGATGGTGCGAATAAGCAACGTTGATAGTATGTGTGATGAGTTGACTGCCTCTCTACATCGCGTATGGTCATTTTCACTTGGTATTATGACATGATCAAGTGGAAGCATTCAATGTTAAACATTTAAAGCCGAAAGTGCAGCTTATGATTCCGTAATTCTAGAAAGTCTAGTTATAACATTTACGGTTTATATTAAACGACGATGTCACTAACCTAGTTAGTTGGTACGTGATAAGTCTACTAAAGGTGCTACTTGACGTATAATATGGCATTCGCCATCAAAGTGTCATCATGCTGAAAGGCTATTGAATCACAATCAACTAAACTCCGTACAGAGGTTTAGCATCACAATCATCTGCTGATATAACACATTTCATGGGCGTTTAATACCTTCTTAATCACCCCTAAGCCTTAAGTGCTCAAGAACCTAGTAAATATATATAGGAGTTTATTGTCATCTAAGTTCCCAATAATAAGATTCTGTATGCATTATGACTAACTACTTAAAAAGTCGTTACACGTATTCATCTTGAAAAAAAATTAAGTTAGAATTAATAGGTATTCCCAAAACTGTCTCCGAGTCTATCTAACAGCATCATGATGAGCGTCAACAGTATTCAGAGAATATTGAAAAATACCATCTAAGGGGGTTTCGGTATGCTCAAATCCATATGGTGGAATACTCTAAAATGGAAGCTATTGTTGTTAGAACATCTAAACGTTAATAACTACTTGAAAAAAGAATAGTTCTTGAAAAAAAAAAAGGGCACCTATGGGGTTCGAACCCATGATCTCTCCCAAAGTTTGCAACTCGAAGTTACCCAAAGGGAGCGAGTTTCCACTTCTCCAAGGCACCGCTGCGTTATTTGATTGTTATATCACAGATAGAAAGTGGGATATTTAACTTGCTCGTCGTTGCGCGCTGGTACCAGATACGAGGTACCGGGCAACTAGGAAGCTATCTGCAACTGCGACAAGATGTTAAGGCCCATGCACAGTCCAGGGCACTTCGGCGTCGTAACTTCATGAATCACCCCAGAGACGACAATACGTATCTGCACTTGAATCCTTAAGCACGCCCCTTTATTTATACCTACCTCAATATTAAAAAGAGCCATATGGATGAAGAAAGACTGCAACATCGGTGGTCCTAACACAATCTTTCAACCCTATACATAATAAATCTAAGGTTTGTATATCGGTTGTGCAGCTTCGGAATTAGTTTGCCTTAGAGAAAAAGTGACGACCTGTTTGGCCTCGATGCAACTGTCTATTCTTTATGCTACCTACGTAGTTGAGACAAAGTATGAACCTGATTTTACAAATATATAGACTAACTAACCTTTCTATCTATATCATCCCTAGACACATCTATTGTAGCTTACAGGTTCACTACAACACATCTCTAAAAAAAAGCTGATACCTAGACCTGCTACAATCCCAATAAATGGATACTTATACTTTACATCCCGTATCAACTCCTATAAGCTCGCTGCATTCCCGGAAACAACAATATGCTACCGAAAGAATGCAATTTTAGGATATCAAGTAATTAACCCAGCCAAATTCTAGAAAATACCTAGGTTAGTCATGTCGTCTTTCTAAAGACCAAAACCAACAAGCTTAATATCTAATAAAAGCGACCCCGTAGTGTTAGGTACCTATTCTTAATAGGAGAAAAGTCCCGTAAACAAAGCATCCTAAACGTAGCAACAAGGACCAGTCGTAATTTAATAACCTCGACAGTTGGCTAAGTATGACCTAAGACGACTAGCCAGAAGCCAATTTCTTCAACTCCGTGACTGCAACAACACGTTAGCCAAGAGACAAGGAAAAAGAACTAGGAAAAATAAATGAATAAACAACACTAGGTACTCACGATCCCCATTAAACGTATCCGAATCGCCCCCGTACTTATACGCATCATTAAACTGCCAAATCGTATAATACGGCCACCCCCCCGGCAGCGCCCCCGCGCTCCCAGCATACCGCGCAAGCACAAGCGGATTCGTACCGACGAACGCGCGCGACCCGCCCGTACAACTCGACCACCACGACGGATTCGTGTACAGCAGGGGATACCGCCCCGTCCTGCCGTGGTACGTATCGCTAAAGTCCCCGATCCACGAGACCATGGCGCCGGTCGACAGGCCCGCACAGTCGCCTTCTAGGTCCAGCATGCCGGGCAGCGTGATCCCGTCGCCAGACCACCCGCCGCCGTGCGCGAGGAAGTACGTCGCTTGGGCGGCGCCGGAGGACGATCCGGGGCGCGCGAAGTGGTAGCTGCCGCGGAGGAGGCCGGCTTTGGTGGCGCCGGTGTAGTGGGCGCTGAAACTGGGGTCTTGGTAGGTGGTGCCTTCTGTAGCCTGTTCTCGCCTGGTAAATTTCCTCTGGGACATATTTGGTCTGTGGATATAGGTAGGTAAAGCTTACTTTGATGATGACGAAACGTGCTCCAGAACTATATGCTGCTCCAAAGTCTACGCTCGACTGGTAGTGAGAGATGTCGAAGCCCGGGACAGTAGCGAGGGCAAGGCTGCTGAAGCCTAGACAGGTAGCAACGAAAGTCTTCATGTTCATGGTGGCTAATCAAGTGCCCGTGTTCTAATGGTTGGTATTTGGAGACATGCAGACACCTGATTGCTGCTACGGCAGGCTTTATAGTTCTTTAAACAATCTGGAGGACAGCTACAATCTACTAGACCTATAGTTATGAAGAGTATGAGGTGGGTAGATAGGGGTTTATACTATCCTGGTTGAGAGTCAGGCTTGCCAGGTAGTACAGTTTAGACATTGCTTAGATGTCATTGGTTATTCAGGGCAGCGAGTTCAACGAGTCAATTCAAGCCTAATAATCGTATATATTTGATCGTATCAGGCCAAGCCAATTTATTTGTAAATTGAGGCTTACCTGGCTATGTATATTGTAAAATTGGCCTAAGGCCCCCAGGAGGCGATACCGGCTAAATTTCGGGTAAAAAATTCCCCCGCAACCTGATTGGTTGAAAAAGGGGGCTGCATATATAGGTACCCACCTAGCCCCTCCTTAACACCAAAAATATCATCGTGGTCTCGAAAATATAATTATTTTTACCCTTAATACGTACATACCTAAGTATCTAATATATAAGCTTAAAATACCACGCGTATATAATAGTATAATTGTCACACAACTAATACGTACTGAATAGGCGATATATAAGGTCTAATTGATGATATTCCTGATGATCTAATTGATTGAGGTAAAATCGTGGGAACGCGTGTTACACCGCTATTTTACATGAGACTAGGGATTTTCAGGTCACCTGACATGGCTGACTAATCTGACAATTAGCTTGTTGAACTTGCTGATTTAGGGTTGACATTCTTTCAGCTCGACTTGGAAGTTGTCGATCGTACTTAGTCTGGGAAAGTGCTCCTGAACATTGTATCGTGGCCTGAAATATGGATACGAACGACAATGATTCTAGTAAGTTGGGAAGAGTTTCCTCCTAATTGGATAGCCGTGTGAGGCCATGACTTAGCGTCGTACTTTCAGCTGCTTACTATATCGCCGTCCTGTCTAAGCTGAAAACCTAGCTAGTGGTATTTTCAACAGAAATTCAGATGTTGTCGCACGTTCCAAGGTTCTGAGATGGTATGCTATAGCATCTGGAGACGCACATGTACTACTTGTGTACCACTTGGTTGCTCTTAAGGGGCAGGGAGAGCAATGGTTTGCCCGGCTTGATCAGAAGAGCTGAGATCCTTTCGAGCGAGCACGTTGCAAACCTCATGATTCATCTATGCTCCTTTCGAAAACGGTAGACGTGGCGTTCATCCGGCCGTATGGGAGACGAAACTCGGTGGTTAGACTTTAGTGGTATCACTTGATCACCTAATTACTGACTTATTCTTGCAAGGAAAATCTGGTCAGCGAGCAGTTATCATATTGTGAAGTCGAAACCGCGGAATGCTTCCGTACTGACAATATGCAATATTGAAGTTGGCATGTTTCAGTCGCCTTCTTAATCTGATATCTGTTATGGACGAATACTCTTACGCGAGGTTGAGTGTAATATAGGGGGGTGGCAATGAGATCCGGGGAATTGAACTGTCTTCCTTGCACTTTTTGATTTGACTCTTGTATTAATTCGGCGTATGAATAGCAGCATATGTATTCATATTTATTCTTTGGCGATGATTGTTATATATAGGTAGGTAACATGTATGGGAGAATCAAGTCAATAGGTAGGTGATTATAGTATGGAGGGGAAAAGGATAAAAAGCACGACCCGATTTTATACTAAACATAATAAAGATACATATGAAAGCTTCAAAGCTTCGATTCATTGCAGGCCGTTATTTTAAACTACAGGTGGATCCCGCCCTACCGCCGATCCCCTATCGATAACTCCCGGTGGAACCTTTTCCCTTACAGTCCCGCCTGTAGAGGTTATGTACCTAAGGTCCATACGGTTATCTTATCCGAGTACGTACCGCCAAAAAGATTTTGGGGCATTGGTGGGATTGTGGAACGAAATAGCAGCAGCAGCAGCAGCAGCAGCTCGACGACAACAACGCAACTTTGCGCCTGACACAAATACCCAATTGAGCAACAGGGAACCAAAAACATCCAAACCGGGGCTGGGCCGCAACACCAAAAATGGCGTCTGAAGTCGCAGCCGCGGCCGCCAATGTCGTGCGGCGGGCCGGCAAGGAAATGCACGGCATCGTGGTGTCCGCCGGGCTCATGGACAAGACGGTGAAAGTCAAGCTGGGGGGTCTGCGATGGGAGCCGCGGGTGCAGAAGGTTAGTCCTGCTGACCTTGAAATAACACTCCCTATATATATATTATATTATATTATATTATATTATATTCTTCAACAGCAACCAGCCAACTAACTCTCTTATATATATATATAGTTCTTCAAAGAACCCCGATTCAAGCTAGTCCACGACCCAGCCAACTCCGTCCGCCAAGGCGACGTAATCGCCATCCAGCCCAGCTGGCGCGTCTCCAAGCACGTCCGCCACGTAGTCAAGCACATCATCGCGCCCTACGGTCCCCCCATCGAAGACCGGCCCTCAGTTCCGACCCTCGAAGAGCGCGTCGCCAAACGGGCCGACAAGCGCGCGGCGAAACTCGAGCGCCGGGCGCTGAGGCGCGAGGAGCAGGCGAGGGAGGCGGCCGAGGAGAGGGAGGCGGCGCTGGAGGAGAAGAGGAAAAGATTGGAGGAGAAGGAGAGGGAGAGGGAGAGGCTAAAGGGGATCGAGACGAGCTTGAGCGATGTTGACTGAAATAAAGGAATTTATTATCCGTCGGAAAAAAGCAAGGGGTTTATGATCTAGGGCGACAAAGCCCGGGCTAGCTGGCCAGCTACGACGACCGAACTGCGGCGGCGACTGAGGAAGACAACCGCAGTTCCACACGGTAAACCTGTATATACCGGAATCACCTAACATGTAACATACCTAGGTACATATATATGTACAACCACCGTTCAGTTCAGTACGGCTCTAGTTTATTGTCATGTGAACAGAAAGATGTCAGTCATATCATCGACATAATTCATATTGAACCGAACGGACGGTCTCATCCTAGACCTAGGTATCGTATGCCAACCCGTCGCTGCCCTCCCCAGAACGCCAATGTGAAGTACGCGCACAGCCGACCATTTCGGTTATTTATATCTACCTCTCGAACAGCCCCCCTGATCGCGACGAGTATTGATTTCACCCGCCACGCTCTCCAAATCTCCTTGCCCAGTCCTCGTACTCCCTAAGACCCTCTTTACTAACGCTCGGGCGGATATTGCGAAGGCTGGCTTTGAAGTCGGCCAGTTCTATGGGCCGAATCTGGTCCATCGTCGTGTGCAGAAGAGCCTCGCCGAGAGCGCGTAGGGGGCCCATTGCTGCATCCTTTGCCAGTGCTGTGATATCCGAGCCAGAGAAGCCTATATAGATAAATTAGCATGCCATTCAAAATATTATATAACTGCTGGTTAATATTACCATCCGTTAGGTCTACCAATTCTGCAATATCAGCATCCGTAAGACTATGCTTCTGCTGGCCTAGCAACGTTTTCAATTGGGTAGTCCTGGTTTCTGCCTCGGGCAATGGTATATACTGGCGCCTCACAAACCTCCGCCTTGCTGCTTCGTCGATCGCCCATGGCAGGTTGGTAGCCGCTAGCACAAGTACTCGATTCGGATCGCCTCGCTCCTTATTTGTCCCGCTGTTGTTCTCGCGTCCCGCTGCGGCTCTCTGTAGATCGCTCCACTGGATAAGGAATTCGGTCTTGATCCTTCTCGTAGCTTCGTGCTCTCCAGACCCGGACCGTTGTGAGAGAAGCGAGTCTATCTCGTCCACAAATATGATGCTTGGTGCCATCATCTTGGCCAGTCCAAATAACGCACGCACGAGCTTCTCGGACTCGCCAAGATATTTACTCGTTAGACTACTCGCCGAGATAGAGAAGAAAGTAGACTTCGACTCCGTCGCGACGGCACGAGCCAGCATCGTCTTTCCCGTCCCTGGAGGTCCAAAAAGTAGCATGCCCCTAGCTGGTTCGCGAAGGCCCATGAATAGGTCCGGTCGTAAAAACGGGTACACCACCGCCTCCCTTAATGCATTTTTCGCAATTTCTAGTCCGGCAACGTCGCTCCAATGGACCTCATCTCCTTGCACAACAATTTCATTGAATATTGCCTTTGCGGCTGCCTCATCTACACCTGCCGGCAAATTCTTCATTATTTCCTTTTTTGTCTTTTCCCAGTCATCTTTGGTCTTATCCCCTTCTTCGGCAGCCGAAGTTGTCGTGGACCGGTCTTCAGCATCGGACGTTATGAGGCATTCCTTCTGCTTACCCTTAAGCTTCCGGCGGGAAGGGCTCGCCCGAAATTGATCGTCGCTAGACGATGCTTCCTCTCTCTTTCCATCATAATTAGATATTTGCCGGCCGACTCGCTTTCTAGCGCTATTCGGCTCAAACACCTTATCATGAGTCAAGGGTTTTCTCTTTATCGAGCCACCCTTAGAACTTGTTCTAGGGGTGGTTTCCAGAGATTCCAAGACTCGAGGGGTAGTATTATTTCGTTCTTCATAACTTAAGCTGCCCGTTTTCCTTGGTGTTGGTCTCCGCTCTGTTCGAATCCCTACAGAACTAGACTCGTCTCGGTCTTGAATGGTCAGAGCTCCCAAAGCACTCGATGCAGCACCGAGAGCGAGAGAGGATGGAGCAGGAGACGAGTAATCGGCCGAAATTTGCATCGAAGCCTCAGGACTTGGGCGGGATGGTATAGATGTAGAACTAGAAGCTTCGGCAGAAACTATCAACCTTCTCGTGTGACTATCCCAATGCCTTGGGGTTGGTGCAGAACTCTTTCGCCCTTGCTCGTAAGACCGCCGTGCCTCTAAAAGCCTTAATGTACTAGTTGTATCAGCAGACGTTCCCCTCTCGAGGCTACTCCAAGCCAACGTGGCAGCCTTGCTGGCCCCAGGACCTTTGGTTATCTTGGCTGGTGTATGCCGGGATGACTTTGAAGATTTGTCTTGTTTACTTGTCCGCAGCGTCGTTCGCATCGTATGCTTTTCCGGGCTAGGCGATCTCGACGATCTCTTTCTCTGGGTGGATACACCATAAGGGGGGAGTGAAGGTGGCGTAGCTGCCGAAGATGATAGCTCCTGGTCTAGTATCGCATTGCGGAGTCCAGCAACTGCTTGCTCCGACGACTTTCTGGAAGGGAACGACGGTCGTTTGGGAAGCGGTGGTTTGGACAGTTCTGTATACGTTATGGCGGGTATTGTTCCGTCACCAATCCATCCTCTTTCCGGCGTGTTGGTGTTTGACCGTGTGCCTAGGCTTCCTTCGGTGCCGATACTCGATTGTGTAAATTGGAATGTTGGGTCCTCCTCTCGAGATATTCGAAGGGCTTCTAGCAGATCGATTCTCTCTTTACACTGCACCTCCAACTCGCGCAAACTTTCCAGCAAAGCACGTTCTGTCTCGGACTTGGGGGAGTAGTTGCCCTGTTTCTTATTCGTTGTGTTCTGCCGTATCTGGTCGAGGGCGTTCCTCCAACATGACATCGCCTCTTTCTCATCTCCCTAGATGTAGAGCAATATAAGCAGTTAGCCTGATTAGATATTCGTCGACCGGCGGTGTTAAACAAAGGGGGTCCTAGTCAGCGCGTGTACATACCTGGCTCTCATAGTAGACAGCTGTCGAGCATTTTAGATAGGCTTCATCATATGTTTTTTGGAGGCTAGAGACGCTGCTACTGGGCCACATCCTTGTCTTATGCTTGCGTATTTGTTGTCCCGTCTAGTGCGAGGGTATGTGATTCTTTAAACGATGTCGCAGGCGTAAGGGATGCGGAGAGGGAGGGTTTATGATTGCATAGGATAAGACATCACAAGAGCAACCTCCTAAAGCCATGTAACGGACGCGTGCGAGGCTCGATATTACAAGCGTAAGTGCCTTAGAGCCGGATCCAGAAACAACGTTGAAGATCTTAAGACTTAAGTCAAGATTCACGGTCCGGGCCTTACATATTTTAGAAGGACCCAGTGACGTCGCGTCGTGATTCTTAGTGGGGTTTGATGACCCAAACCGGTGTGGCTCAGGAGCTTTATATAGTGGGGCATAACTAATATACAAGTTACATACATATGTACCTAGGTACATACACCTATAGTATACCATGTACGTACTATCAAACCAGACCCCTTTTCATCTTGGTTCACTACATAGTACATATGTAACCTCATGAACTTACAGATCAGATTGAAAAGGATAAAACTATACTAATCAATCCCCCTCCTCTTCATCCTCATCCCGGGGAAGCTGTAAACCCATCATACCAAGAATGTTACCTGCAGGGCCTGCCATCCCGGCTTGGCTCTTGAAGCTTTCTAGCAGATTCTTGGCCAGGTTATAGTCAACATCAACCTCCTCCTCACTACTCTCTTCTTCGTTGTCAACCTCTTGTTCTAGAGTAGCTTTCCCTTTCCCTTTCCCTTCAGAATTATCTCCATCTTTTGCTTCTATTGCTTTTGTTTTTCCGGCCTGAGGATCAAGTTTTAATGCACCATGCTCTTTCAATTCAGCTTCCATCTGAGCAGCCAATTGCTTTATGGCAGCATCCTCGTCTTCTTCAATAGTAGTACCATATGTAGCAACGGATGTTGAGGTCCCGGATACTTTCTCCGAGTTTGTAGGCTCCACAGGGGACAATCCCATCATCTCCCTCATCATCCTCGAAAACTGTTCTTCGTCAAAACTGACTTCTTTATCCTCATCGTCGCTATCTTCCTCCTCATCCGAGATATCATCATCTTCATCCATATCTTCTAATTCAGCACCTTCTACGCCGGCACCTTCGTCGTTCAGGAAAGCTTCAAAACGGGATACAATCTTTTTCAAATCTGCCTGCGCCGAAGGATCGCCAAACTCACCCTTCGGTCGGCTTCGAGGGCCACGGTTTCCTTGCAACTCATCTTCGAAGTCTTCAAAGTTGATGTCCAGCCAAGATTCGTCGTCCTCTCTGTGCACATCTTCCCAAGTTTCGATGTCTTTGTTAGTCGGGAGTGCCTGAGCCCCGTCCTCTTCAACATCTTCGAGTAGCATAGCAAATTCACGCGCAAGACGATTATCTTTCGTGTCTGCGTTAGTAGCAAGCATCTCGAAGCCGCTTGTTACCTTCATGCCCATTTCTAGGCCCGCTAAACTCTTTTGATTATCATCTGCGTTAGAAATATGCTTCTCAGCAGCTTCAAATGCAGTGCTCCATATCGGAGGAGGCGAGAAACGCTGAGACTTGAGCTGTGCGAAAAGTATTTTTGTGAATTTTATACTGACAGTCACAAGGTCCTCAGGCGGGAAATGTATTTTCGCAGAAGGTGATGTGAGAGGCTTCATTGCAACTGGGTCTCGAAGGTAAAACACCTCGATAGCAGGGGCAATAGTGGAAGGCTTTTCGTGCAAGATATAAGCAAGTTTTCTGGGTATCGTAACTAGCGAGCGGTGTATCGAATCTGTGATTTGTCCGGGATACTTCTCTAACCTGTAGAAAGCTTCGGCTTCGACGAATGCAGAATGCACTAGGGAGTTAGGGTTCGATTTAATATAGCGAACAGCTTCGGTTAAGGATAACGGTCGCTTCACTCCCGAACTTGCAGCCAGGGGGAGTAGATGGAGGTTTCCACCGTGTATCCATGATCGGTTGCCATCTATCTCCGGGCTTAACCATTTTGGTAAGACGTTAGCTGCCTCGACAAGCAGAAATTCTCCATCATCGTCGAAGATTCTGACCCAAAGATTGGGATAAGATTTGGTTAATTCTCGAAGTAGATAGACTATGAGCCATTCATCCTCGACCGAGTCTCCGTAGTCTGTGGTCCCATGCAAGTAGACCAGATCCTGATCTCTTTCGATACGCAGTTGAAAAGAATCTCGTTGCCATATGTATTCCCTAGCAATGCTATCGCAGAGCTGTGTAGCTGCTTTTCGGATATTTTCAAGCTCCGAGAGAAGGTTGCGCGATTCCAGTTTACTGTCGATGACGAATAATAAATATTCCACACAGTTTTCTGGTAATCTCCTGGGGAACTCATTGAACTCCCCCTCAGAGAATCCAATATTATCTTCAGAATCCATCGACCGAGACTTGATAGGTACCAAATGCGAGAAGATATAGCAGATTATGTCCTAGAAATTATAGAAAATTTGTGACTAAGTGCTCTCGAATCATATGGTGTTTAGATGGCAAACGGGACAGAAGTGACAAAGAGTCGAGTTAATAGGTGAGTTTTGTAGCTAATATCAGTGAAGTTAGGACATAATCACAGATGATAGAAATTATGTGGGTAGAACTTGTTTAGACTCACTTATACGGTATTAAAAAATTGTTGAGCATATGAAGCGTCCTTCTTAATTAGCATAATTGATAACTTTAGTTAATAATCGCTCTAAACTTTTTTTCTCCTTTTAGTTTGAAGCTATCTTGATACATGCTAATACAACATAGCACTTGACATCTGAGGTATGTAGTTCAATACATTCAATAGATGTAGCAAGGGTTTTGTTGAACCCCTGCTATTTGAAGAAACTAAAGGCAGGTGGGGCAGGTGACGGACGGTTCGGTTCCTTATGAGGTACATAGTACTTACATACATATTAGTGGGCATGTTACATTAGGTAACCTAACCTATGTATGTACATAATCTACCAGGGTTCGCGCCTGACAACCGCGTCTCAATTGTCGCGTCAGGTCTTTATGAAATTCCATTAATTGCATTTACATGTAATTAGTCTATTCCGTTTGAGTCTCTCTCCGTTTGACCTTGTACCCTTTTCCCCGTTGACCGTTACCCACAATGACCTACCCTTTCTGACAATTGCAATTGTCTTACCCCGGAGGATTCGGCCTTCTTCTATGCAAAATCTAAGACGAGCCCCTCAATTCAGTTGGCACAGCCAACCTATAAAGCAAACGAAACAGTCATGTCCCCCGCATCTACGAAGCGCTCTCGTCGCGCTGCATTCGACGGAGATGAAGAAGATGGAGTTACTATTGCCCAGGCTAGTTCTAGTCTGAGAAGTGAATCCGTAAGTAGACAATCCCATTCTACAATCCAAGTACACCCCGACTAATTGCGATCTGACATCTTGTATACAGCACCGAAAGAAGATTCGAACCTCAAATGCCGGCCCAAGTAGGAAATCAGCTTGGATGCCTCATCAAGAAAGTACTTCTGGCTCCGATGAGGACGAAGCGATGCAGGAGCCCGAAGAGCATCCGAGCCCACCAGCTGCGACGCAGTACGAGAAGATGCGCGATGCCGGCTTTAGACATCTTGAGAATACCGATTTAGATGATCAGCGAGCAACACAACGCCTGAAGAGCCGTCCTCATATGCTTGGCGAGAACCAGGTAGCTCTCAATGCTATCATCGAAAGCATCACCTGCTTCAACTTCATGTGCCACACAAGACTGCACGTCGAACTCGGACCTCTGCTCAACTTCATAGTGGGAGAGAACGGAAGCGGCAAGAGCGCTATCCTAACAGCAATAACTCTATGCCTAGGCGGTAAAGCTAGCGCAACGAATCGTGGCGGAAGTCTACGCAGTTTCGTTAAGGAGGGTCAAGAGAATGCCGTTCTAATCGTCAAGATCAAGAACCAAGGTCCCGATGCGTACAAGCCGGAGCATTACGGGGAGTCTATAATCGTAGAGCGACATTTCAGCAAATCTGGTGCGAGCGGGTTCAAACTTAAATCATCTACCAATAGGATTATATCGACCAAGAAAGGCGATGTAGATGATGTCGTTGAGTACTACTGTCTTCAAGTCGATAACCCTCTTAATGTACTCTCTCAAGATAACGCACGCCAGTTCCTTAATGCTGCTACCCCTGCCGCCAAGTATAAATACTTCGTCCAGGGCACCCAGCTAGAGCAACTCGACCAGGATTACCAACTTCTTCAAGAAACACTTGAAGCAAATGAGACAAGACTTATAGCGTTCCGGGATAACATCACGTTTCTCAAAGAGAAGAGCGAAAAGGCTGTAAAACTGAGAGACGCGCTCACAAAGAGTGCGGAGATGCGAAGACAATCCAAGGTTTACTCGAACCAGTTGGCGTGGGCCCAAGTCATGGAGCAGGAGGCTATTCTACAGCAGAAGGAGGACGCCATACTGGCATCCCAAGAAGATATTCGTCGAATGGAAGCGACGATTGCAGAAAAGACAGGGATCCTTGAAAATATTGACGATAAAGTCCGAGAAGCTGGCGAAGCCTTGGACTTACTTCGCCAGGAAGAAGGCCAATTCAAGGAGAAAGAAGAAGAAGCGAAGGCAAACTATGAACGCGCAAGACAATCGATCGAGACAACCCATACCCAAGAGAGGGACATCTATCAGCAACTCAACAATGCTTCCCAGAAGGTCAAGGAGTACGAGAAGAAGATCCGTGAAGAAGAGCAGCGTCTGGAGGAAGTAAACGGTGGCGTCCTTGCTGAGAAGCAAAAAGAATTGGACGACGCAAAACGTGCTGTGGAAGATATCAGAGAATCGCAGAGGACCCATGCCGAGCGTAACTCTAGTCTCTTGAGCGAACGTGACGAGGCCCAGAGGAAAGCACAAGAGTCCGAAGACTTGGTCGGACAGAAGCGACAGGAAGTTTCAGCTGCTGAATCTCGGATACGTACTCTATCCCAAAACCGCAGTGACCCGCTTGCGGGTTTCGAGTCGCAAGTGCCCCAGCTTCTACGACTCATCGAGAGTGACAGCGGATTTTCGCAGAAGCCTATTGGCCCCATCGGTACCTATGTTCAGTTAACTAAGCCCAAGTGGTCGTCAATTCTTGAGAAGATATTCGGAGCCAGCCTTAATGGGTTCGTTGTTGCAACCAAAGCCGACCAGGCCCGGTTATTCTCACATATGGAGAGACTGAGAGTCCGAAGCTGCCCCATCTTTATAGGTTCAAGCACTGTGATCAGTAACTTAAGGGAGCCTGATAGGAACTTTGATACGATATTGAGGGTATTGAAAATCGACGACCCGCGCGTGAGAGATCAACTAGTCATCAACCACCACATTGAGCAAACTATCTTGATCGAACGACGAGAAGAAGCAGAGCGCGTCATGTTTGACGGACAACCGCCGGAGAACGTCGCAGTGTGCTTATCCTTTCACGACAAGAAAAGGGGCCACAGGTTGCGACTTACGAGACGCGGTAATAATATGTCTACCAGCCCGGTTGCGCCTAGCAATGATCAAAAGCCCCGTATGAAGACTGAGGATGTAGAGTCACAGATCAATTACTTCAAAGAATCCCTTGAGCAGCTTAGGGCAGAGTATCGGGAGTTGGAGACGTCCAGAAGGTCCTCTCAGCAAGCGGTCCAGCGTTGCGTCCAGGCCATTTCTCAGCACAAGAGGCAAGAAAACGGATTCGAGAAAGACTTGCGCAACGCCCAAGCTCGAGTTACCCACGTCGAAGAAGAGCTCGACAAGTTTGAAGGCGTCGACAACAAACTGCAAGGATACAGGAATGACCTCCAAGAAGCTATGAATCAGAAGGACCACTATGGCAACCAGTATGGTGAGCTAGCCATGCAGAAGCAGGAGATGAATAAGGAGGTAGAGGGTATGAAAGAAGAATTCAGCAAGGCTAAATTAGCCTTTCGGGACTACAAAGCCAGGATCACCAAGGCTGAAGATAAAGTTAAGAGGTTTGAGGAGACTCGGCGCGTAGCCCTGGTCGAGAAGAACCAAGCTTACGAAAGTCTTGACGTGGCGAAGGAGGGCAAAGCCGACGCAGAGAGGTCCAAGAAAAGACAAGAGGAATTAGTTGCCGACTATATACGACAGGCGAGCGATGTCGCTGCCGAGCGTGCTTACATACCTGAAGGGGAGACTGTCCGAAGCATCGAGCGCAAATTTGAGTCCATCAAGGAGCAGCTGAGGAAGATCCGCAGTCAGCTCGGCGCATCAGATGAAGAAATTCAGAATCGTGCCTCACAAGCAATCCAGGAATACCGAGAGGCCAAGAAAAACTACAAGGACCTCACTTCGCTTGTGGACGAGCTGAAGAAGGCGCTGATGGATCGACTACGGAAGTGGAGGACATTCCAGCGCCTTATCTCTGCACATGCCCGATGCAACTTCAACTACCTTCTTAGCGAGCGTGGCTTCAGAGGCGAGCTCTTTCTCGACCACAAGGCCAAGAGGCTTCGAGTTCAAGTCGAGCCGGATGAGACGAGGAGGAGTAGCGCAGGTCGAAATACGAAAACTCTATCTGGTGGAGAGAAATCGTTCTCATCTATATGTCTTCTTCTTGCCATCTGGGACGCAATGGGATCTCCCTTACGATGTCTCGACGAGTTTGACGTTTTCATGGACAATGTCAACCGTGCTATTAGCACAAACATGCTCGTAAGTTGCTATGTCTTCGTGAGTGGCATCATCTTGTTAACTAATGCCGCAGATTACCACCGCTCGTCGCTCCGTCGGCAAGCAATTCATTCTCATCACCCCTAATGCCATCGAGGGTCGTGCAAAGATCGATAAGGACGTCAAAATTATCAGGCAAGTCCTCATTCTTCAATTATCGCTGTGGCATGTACTAGATAGTAGAACTAACAGTATATCAGGCTCACGGACCCACGACAACGGCTTCTTGCCGACCATTAATATAACTTGGTCTAGCATTACGGTTATAGGAATTTCATGTAGGGTTAGTACAGCACCCATCCGGCGGCTAAGGGCATTCGGTGGTTGTGTCTCAGGGAATCATGGTGTTGGAGCGTTTTTGGGGTGACTTCAGGCCCTCGTGCCAGCATGGTATTAGGAGGGAAGGAAAAAAAGTAAAGGTCCGGACGTAAACTAGTGTTGGCTTCATTGCCGTTTCGAGTATATTGTACAAATAGAGCCGAGCTGTTCAATATGAATTACGCATATATATCTGCGACTTGACTACCGCTGTAGTCTTGATCCTGTTTCGTAGACGCCACCTGCCTGCAACCGTTGCAATAGTAATTATGTACAATACATACCAGTTTTCTCTATCAAGTACACCTTCAGACTTCTGCCCTCCTACAAGCTAGTAAGCCCGTCCGGGCAGAGTCAGGCCTCGTTAATTTAACTTATCTTATATTCTAACACCCTTACTCCTCAACACATTCACGCCCGCCGACGCCGTAAACCCAACCCACTGGGCGACGCTGCCCAGGGCACCGCCCACGGTGCTCGTCTCGTCGAGGCGCCGCTGTAAAAAGGCGCGCGTCTCGCCGTACCCCGGGGACCGGTCGTTGGTCATGAATAGCTCGGATGAGGCGTATATGACGGAGAGAGTGCCGCGCTTCGTGTACCAGGATGGGTCGACTGATGTGTCGCCGGAGAGGAAGTAGATCTCGTCGGCGAGGAGGGCGAGTTCGCGGAGGGAGGAGGGGATGTGGGAGGGTTGGGCCATTAAGGCTAGGGCCTGGAGGGAAGGTGGGGGGGTTAGTATAGATGTCGTAGGTTTGAGCGGCGGAGAAGATTAGACTCACCTCCTGCCACCGATGATTAACCTCCGAGTTCGACAACAGGCGTTCCCACGTCAGTCTCTCCACCTTCTCGGGCACTTTTGACAGCCCCCCCTGCTCCTCCCCCTCCCCCTCGCTGCCGAAGATGGCCTTGGCCCGTGGCGCCAACGCCTCCCGCTTTGTTGCTAGGTGGTACCGGATCAGGCTATACGGGCCCTCGGGCACGACGTTGGTGCTGATGTCCGGGTACCCGGCGTCGCGGGCGCCGAGGGCTAGGGCGTGCTGGGTGAAGCCGTGCTCGGGGACGTAGTTGTAGGCGGAGGAGAGGATGGCGCGCTCGGCGGTGTTGAAGGTGGCGGGGGGTGGTGGGTGGTCGTAGGAGTGGTAGGGGCGGGGGAGGAGGATGGGGGTAGCGATGCGGGTGCGGGTGCGGGTAGTGGTGGTGGTGGTTTGGCGTAGGAGGGTTGTTGCCAGGCGTGTTGATGGTGCCCGTGACGGGGCCATGGTTTATTTAATATCTAGGGTATGCTAGCCGAATTCTAGATTTATATAGTTCAATTGGTTGGTTGGTTAGTTGGTTAATTGACCTCCAATCGACTAAAAGTCAGATCGTGAAGTTCGGATGCAAGCAAATGATGATCTTTTTTTTTTAGAGACGAAATTGTTGCTATGTAATCCGTAATAGTAAGTCGCTCCGGCTCCAGCTGTCACGGACCGTTCGGGCTGGTCCGCAAAGCTTTGAGACCCGGGAATCTCCCGACTTTTCGGGGATACCTAGAAACTTGTTGGTGGATCCCCTGGCAGCAACTAACATGGATGGATGAATCTAAGCCCCCACATGGCTCTTTTTTATGTATGTACCATGGTACCGACTACAAACAATCTTACCAGTCTACATATAGTACCTAACATAGATGCTAATACAATGAAATTCCAGTTTCAACAAGGTACTTGATTACCTCGGTACTTAGACCTCAAAAGGACCAAGGGACAAAGGAAAAGGGAATAAGGATATTTACCTATTTTAGACCTAATACGGAATTTTTGAAGACTTCTTTTTTTGTTTTGCTTTTTCCTTTTCTGCAACGTTGGATGGCCTGGCCTGGCCTGGCCTGGCCTATCCCCCTATGCAGTGGTCATCCCGCTCGAAATCAAATCGTTGGCTCCGAGAAGACTCTACTACGTGAAGGGCAACCTTAGGCGGGACCCAGATGAAGTGGTCGGCCAGGGGTGGGTTGAAGACTTTTTCGATATTGCCAGATTCATACATAGGTAGGTACCAGTAGGTATTCATGGCATTTCTATTAGTAACGAGGGTGGTTCTAGAAGCTGTAGGCTACGTCTTTACTATGGGCATTATTATGTTGGGTATTTATATCTTAAAAGTGTAGGCTTAGTATTAATGGTATGGATGTTAGTCCCAAGGTTTAAAGCCTGTTATAGAGGTACCCTTCTTAATAACCGACAACAGATCGAGATTTTGTCGCGAATCGCTTCCCTGTTCTGCCTTGATTCGGTTTCCATCTCCATGGTTTCTTATCCATACATTGGCCTTTAGCATAGGAATAATCCTTTGCATATGTAGCTCATGTTAGCAGCCCTACGAGGACTCGGTAAACGACGGCCGGTCTTCCTATTGGATTCCCTATTTACGGAATAGCGGTGATGTGACGAAATATCCTCTGAAGTGGGTAGCGACAGCCAGGGGGGCGATGTGACTTGACGTTGCCAGCCTTATTAGACGATATAGAGGTTCACGAACGTACATCTTTTAGGTATACGTAATAATAAACAGGTACATACATAGTAGACACAGTGCTGTAACTAATGACATGACGAGTTCGCGAGTTCCCCAGGAAGTGGTAGCAGTGAAAACGCCACAGCGCCTATTCCCCTGAGATCCCCGCTAGCAAGATAGGCATCCGGGTTTGGTATTGGGTAACTTCGCGTGCTATGTGAACCTATCACCTATCGTTGCCTCGCCGCGGAGCAGGGGGTTAGCAGGCATGAACCGTAGCCCCTCCGGTCTCCTCTCGCGGTTACGGGTATGTCTATGTACGAGAGGGGTCAAGGCTCTGAGTGCGACGACTTTGGTCGGTGCCCATACAGAAAATCTATTCAACTATGTGTCTTACAATCTTGTCCTGAAGGGATGTAGAAGTGACGGCAATATCTTAACGGTTTTCAACTATTAAGCAAGCCATAAGCATCGTAAAGGAGGCAAAGCGCCTCTCGGCAGTAGCATTGTGATCGAGGACAAACATTATATGTCGGTTCCCAAGCTTGTTGTACATGCATAGTATGGGGGAGGAGAGATGCGACTAATGTCCTGCTTTTAACAGGCAGACAGGAAGGCTTTGGAAGTGATGCTACAAAGTCATGTTCCTTTCTAGCTAGTAAGGGAATAATCTAGTAACACCACGTCTGCTGTGTCACCACCGCGTTGCAACTGAGGACGAATATTGGCTCCTGGTCCTAGAGAAGCGGCACTTTGCGAGCGGGCAGGACGCCAATCACTAATGGAGCAGCCTCTGGGTGTGTAAATAGGGGAAACTCCTTATAGCCTAGCTACCTTGACGCGAATTCGGCAACGATGATGCTACCGCTTTTGTCCTGATCTGATCTAGCGATCAGTGACAATGATGATGGGCCTGTGTCATTGTACCAGATGTCTTGAGTGTTAATACTGCCAGCGGAGATGCAGGGATATTTCCGCCAGGATGCAACCCGCTTGAATGAGTCTTATTTTTTTTTCTATGGCGGTGAACTAGAGCTGGCTCGCCGGTGAACTATACATACGTGTTGCTCTTCCATCGAACTGCGTAGCAGGTATTAGAACCTGCTAGGATTTCCGCTGCGATCTGGGTTCGAGTCTGTCTGTCTGCAGTAGGAATGTTGATGCATTATGGATATGGGGCTAGGATTCCCAACTCATTCAAGTAGCTAACAGTTGTTTTCCCATAATGGGCGAACGTTATACATTATTCCGGTATCATTCTCGACGAAAACGGATGGTTTACTATCCTCTAACCTCCTTCTGAAGAACAAGGAGCTTGATCACTATGGCACAATACTGAGGACGGGATAGGAGTTACAGTTACGATTTACACTACCCAACGCGCTATCTTACATGTAACCTAATCTGCTAAGGAGAAGATCTACTGTCAACCTACATGCTTTCGAACCGATCATTCGGAGAAGCTGGTAAAATATATAAACGGTCAAGGCAACGAGTCGGTTAGATATAGGCATAACATCTAAGCCCGGCGCTGCGTGCACCAACGAATACAACTCTTCCGTATGTACAGCTATAGAAATGTAAGAACTTTCCGCATAAGAAAATCTTTAAAGACATCGTGCGGAGGCTCGGAGCCGACAACTAGGAAAGGCTTGGTTCGCGCTGCAGCCGACCATTAAAGGACCAACCCTGCATTTTAATGTGATAGATCAGAAAAGGAAGAGGAAAAAAGAAAAATCTGGTAAGCCCCTCCCAGCGTCTTAAGGTGACTAAACCGGCCAGTTTTTTGCATCTCGAATCGCAACGAATTGCCATGCCTGGCGGACAAAAATTCAAGCATTGGGGCTTTCGAGGGGGTCAGTCCCACTGGACGCACTTATTATATATTAATAGACACGCCCGATAGAAGCAGGCTACGGTCCTGTCCTGTACGATGGGGTGCTGTGTGTGTGTGTGTGTGGTGTGCGTGGTGTGTGTGCGTGCGTGTGTACTTTGCATGGTTTGCGTACCCAGGATGTGGATGCAACTGTGACAACGATCCCAGATGTTGGTACATATAACCTACCTCTATGGGAGGTAGGAATGTAGACTTGAGAGACATGGCTGGCTGCAGCGGGCCGACCTATCCAATGCGGTGGCCGCGGCACCAACCGCCGTTAAGGCTTGCGTGCATCGACCATTTTATGTTTTGCACTACTCGTACATACGCAAGAAGGGTTGAGGAGCTGTAGGGTTGTCTCGAGGGAACATATCTCGTATGCGTCGGGAGGTAGATTTGGTTGTAGATGGAAACAAGAAAAAAAGAGCTACAAGATCGAGTTCCGTCAAGGTACCGAGCTTGGGCCACTGTGACCGGGGGTTCCGGAGACGATGCCATCTCTAGAAATTCCTACATGAGATACATATCATATAACTACCTATGTATACATTACCCATATATACATTACCTAGGTATATAGTAAAAGGTCAAGGTTATGGTAGATGATTGAGCACTGCCCCTTTTTATATACGCAGCAGGTATAACATTTGAGATTTTACTTACGCCACTTTTATACGGACATCTTGTTCGATACATACCTTACCTCTAGGATATCATATGCTTAGGTATTTAGATGTATCTCGTCGAAGAACCTTCAAATATATGTAGTCGGATAGGTACCTGTGGAATGACGGCAAGCGCCAAGGTCGTGCGTTCTTCAGGGATTAAGAGCGGGAACTATTTAATCCTTGCTCTATCACTGATATAAACATCCATATACATATACATGTGCGTGTACACGATGTGCCTATCCGTTGCTTTGCTTGTACTTAGTATGTTGTGCTTCCTGGTGTGAGGTACTCCTTACGAAAGGAATAGAATTGGGTTGCCCTATGCACGTCCCAAACATGGTGAATAAAATAGACAAGGCCACCTATAATATCGTAAAGTGCCCAGAGATCGTTAAGCTCAGACATGAAATATATACATGGCATTGGGTAAGATTTAGATCGAGGACCTCGATAACAGATTGGCCAAACCCTTCCAGCAATACCCCATACGTCCACAGTATGACATATGTAGCGTCGATAGTTTCCTGTTCTACAATTGTAGTTACGGTAGGGCTAGCCTGTCAGCGTCTCGTATATACATACATAGGTTCTGTAAAGTAGCACTTTTGGATTCTAAGCTAAGCCTATCTATTTATCGAAAAGAAGCAATCGAAACTTATCTTACGATCGACACTGTTTGGACATTCAATCCTTGAATATTTTACTAAGTACATACCTGAACCAAACACGCCCCAGGCTTTACTCCAATTCAGGATTAGTAGCTATGATGGTGGACAGATTTGGGCCCGTGTTTGGGGGACCGTTCATACCAAGCAAATAGGATATTGGATTGACACGTGCTTCTTACATCAAGCAGAGTTACCTTGCATTTCTGTATGTACATACATAAGTAAGTGTGTCGACTTGCAAGACCCTGGCATATCTCGCCCGACCAAAGCTAAGTAAATCAACAGAATACGTAAAAGACCAAATAAGCTGTACTGACCAAATACCTATTCAGCTCTACATACCTATGTCATAACTGATATATAGTAATTCGTTTAAATGGCTAGTCTTGCCTATAGCCGGCGTGGAATTCTCATACGACAGCTCGATAAAGCGGCCACGTAAGCCTCAGCTAAAATACCCAGTTCGCATATTTATATGTAACATCGTGAATATATATTAGGTGAGTGTGCATAGGTGGGTAGGCTCTAGGCGTACATAGTTAAAAATT